GACCCTGTGGGGGGTGCCATGATTTTCAGACTTCACGTGTTGAGTGGTAGCTCTTCTAACGGCAACGACTTGCCAGATCTGATTCTTACTTTCTGAGATGGCAGAGAATCAGAGACAAACGTCCGGTACCCGAAACTGAAATCTACCTTGGCAATTCAGCGATCAATCATTACGTTCGTCGGGCTAAAATGAAGCAGAAGTAGGCCTCGAACATCACCAGCCGAAAGCTGAAACGTCCAACTGGGACTTTCAGCTCAAACCTCAAGCCTGAACTCTGGAACTTTATCACCGCTACAAAAGTTTAAACATACGGGGCCATCTAACAGCTATGGACCTCTATGTGTCTTGCGGAGTCGCGGAGTCACTTGAAGTCCCCTTTTCCTTGGCCCTGCAAGCGGAGTCGCCAGTGTAGGAGGCTAGGGGGGAAGTTACGAGGGGGGACAAGTTATAAGTAGTTCTGTGAGTCGAACTTCTGTAGCACCGCAGTATGGTCTCGCAACCAAGAACCTCACCTTTGAACAGTACTGTAGCAGCCTGCATACAGACAATAGAGGGTTTAGCGATATTGTCCCCAATAATGGAGAAGCAAAAGGAAAAATGAAATGAAATTAAATGGCTTCTACAGATGAGATAAGTATCCCACACTCCTTGCAGATGTGAAGTATAGGGTTCCCCAAAAAGACCGCAAAATGATATTGGCGTCGATTTAGGCCACTACAGTAGACGGGAAGTATCCAACATGATGAATCTGTTCTGGGGTCGCCCAAGTAAGGTAAACCTTTAGGGCAAAGGACAACGACGATTTCACGCAACCTCGCCCCACATGTGGTTCATATGGACATCGTCGTAAATCAGCTGCATGTCAGGTTCTGAAAGCCAACTAAACCCTAAACCCCCAAACCCGAAACCTGTCTCAATCCTGGAACTTCCTGGACCTCTGCATAGGTGTCCGCCGCGTGATCGGTTATGGGCTGGTCTTTGGACTTTACGTCCCCCGGATCATCAAGACCTTTCTAGTTGAGGAAGCCCTGTTTCGCAATTTCTTAAGGAGGTTACAGGGATCCAGTTCCCCTCGCCCGGGTTTTGCGAAACCTTATCCTTGGGAATTTATGGTAAGGTAGTACAAGAAGGTCATGCAGCATTTCTCGTATCAACAGTATTAGGAGACACTGGGATTGGAGAGCTATGCATCGTACGGTCATAAACAGGTAGAACACACTTAATAAATGAAGGTCCCTATGCTCAAAAATCTCTGGAGAGCATTTTGAAGCCATACTTCCAAGTTCCTGGACAAGCATGGCAAGTAGGTCGGTCATAGTTGCCCTGACTCCCTGAAGGCTCTAACAGATGGACCCAGACTTCTTCCAATGCAGTACTGGTGTCGTTTTGTAAATGGGCGCTACAACGATTGCTGGGCTCTGTAAGGGGACCGACATGAACTTCCATGTTTACTCAGCTAGGGTACATTCTAGTTGCGAGGAGTACTGCAGGAGGGGTGATGTATTCCAAGCGCCTTCAGGGAACCTTATGTGCACTGTCGACTCTTGCAAGAACAAATCGGCAACCTCCTCGCCACACATCCTTGCAACCAGGGTCCCACTGCTTTGCAGGTACTGCAGACAGGTTCACATGTAGAGACAAAGCACGGTAAGTCGGTCTGGGGAATTTTCGAAAGTGTGCGTTTTCTTCCCGTACATACGAGGTAAACATTGCTTTCGAAAAGGCAAAAAGGTTTACTCTGGGCGCTAAAGAATTGCCAATGTTATGACAATAGGTTACAAGTCACCTTCCATTTGATTTTGCATCATGTGTTATTTAGGTCCGAAACCATAAACTCTAAACCCTATATACTTCCATATACCCCCCTCAAGAGCCCCTATATCCCCCATACTTGGTACGTGTCTGAATACCGGAGGTTGCATTCACGCCGTTCTGCCTGTTCGTGACAAACCTGGCCGAAGCGATCGACTTAGGCTAGACCTTTGCCCACTCATGGATGCGATGGTACCCATAGAGTAAGATTTTATCCTGCTTTTGGGTATAAGGCCCATCCCATGGCTCAGGGTTGATATCTTCGAAGCTTCGTAAAATTTGAGTGGTCTTTCTTTGCCTTAATGAGCTTATTGCAATTCATAGAGAAAGGTCTGGGCCCCCCGACTCATGATTGAATTGGCCTGCGAAAAGTCACTAGTAAGAAAGTGCACTCCAGAACTTCTGAATTCTGGATGGATGGCTTTTCTTTGGCTTTCTGAAAACCACACCGCAAAAACCAATTCAGTAATTGTTGTCCCCGCAAGAACCAAGACTTGGTAATATCCTCGACGTATCGTGTAGGACATTTCAGGCTAGCGTAGCAGTAGCATTTCAAGGCCTTTCGCACTACAGGTGGTTCGAACGTTTGCTCCTCTCTAAAGTAAGCGTACTGTTTGCACGAGAATTGGTATCATGCGACTCCTTTCGTGCTGCGCCCTGAAGTCAGAACTCTCTAGGGGGCGTCTTGACACTGGGTTGGCCTTTGGGATTGTTGTTTTTTTGACCTTATTGGTCCCACACGGACCCAATTTTCTAAAGTTGGTCAGAATGCTCTGACGACGGGATCAGTGAATTAGAACTTGCCGTAAAATCCTAGACTTCGACAGCTTGAACTTCGGGTCTACCTGATGAACCCCATGAGGGCATCACGAACGTGAAATCCCCAGCCCTAAACTGCGTGGCATCCTGGACCTTTCATGTGCATCTCCAAAGAGGGTCCCTTTGAATACGCCCAAGTACTCTTCTTGCCTAGTTCGTTTGACACGAACTCGAATAAGGGGAGCGCAGGTCCCTTTCAGAGCCTGTGGTCCGCCTATGCCCCCACGACTCACAGCAGCAATGGCTTGGATGGTTTCGGGTACAGTCTTTGGGGTTTAGGGCTCTCGGGTGCAAGTACAGGTTTTGGGGCTTGCTGCACAAAACCTGTGCTTTGGGAGCTAGTAGGGCTTGGGGTGACGGATTAGAGTTGAGTTGCAGGCTGTAGGGGCTGTCGAGGGATTGTGGGACAGGGTTGGGGCTTCATTGTACGGACTACATTGTTACCTGTAAGACGCATACATGCAGTAAAGGGCCTACTGGCGGACATTATACTGGGCTGCTGTTTTATACTAACTTTATTTAAGTTCCTTGACAGTACGGGATTTGGGGCCATAACGGCTGGTCTGAGTGTTTGGTTTTTAGGGTTCGTTCAGGACTGCATGGAAGCACCACCCCGGCAATGAAACCTTCGACAACAGTGGCTGCGTGGTGGGGGCACTCGTTATATAAGGGGTAGAAGTGATGTTGGTTTTATGTTTGTGGCAAGTACGGCAGGCGTGACTCTAAAGCGCTATTGGCAAACACGAGCATACATACATACATACATACATACATGCATACATACATACATGCATACATACAAGTATATCTATGGGCAGCAACCGCACTTGCCAGTACTCACCAGCCTCCAGCCAGATTGTTCTTTTACTATTGCTGCCATTATTACTCTTACTATTACTATTACTTGGGATATCTGGACGAGACCTGCGAACCGTTCACCCTACATCCCACACCTGAATCCCAAAGTTTGCACGCTAAATCCTAACCCTACTTAAACCCTATACACGTACACACATATAAGTATATCCAATACAATCACTACAACCTCTTTCAAGGCTGCCTAAAGGACCTCAGGAGGAAATTTTGTCCAAACTAGCAACAACTGGCATTGGAGATACTGGGACGGAAGACTCATTAAGCCTGCGGCTTTAGGGCTTAGTGTCTAAGTTGCAGGACTTAGATGTGTTCAGTCGGCGGTGTAAACGGACGGGCACGCAGTCAGGGTGGAAGTTACTGTTAAGAGACCCTGTAAGGAACAAGTCTGCATGACAGCCACCGTACGAGGATGGTGATGAATGTGGTCGGTTCCCCGACATTCCGACTACTTGTAACAAGAGGCAAGGCGCAGGAAAACAAAAACCTCAGAATTTCTTAAGATCCCGAAGCCTAGAATCCTAAAATCATGTGTCCGTGTAGCCGGCCCTGCTGAGCACGTTGGCACATCTTGAGCATGCCTCGTGGCCAGACCGACTTCCGATAGTAGATTTTGGAAGACCTTGCGGTGCACCAAAATCATGTGCCCTAAAACTTTGCACCCCAAGCGCTGAAATCCCCAATCCTACGCTTTAACTCCTCAAGCACTTGCCACTACCACCCAAAACCTTAAAGCCTACAATCCTCAAACTCTGAATCCTCAAGCCCAAAAGCCCGAGACCCCCTTCTACAATCAGGGGTCCCCTGGTGGAGGGCGCCTATCATAAGGATTCTATTTTTTGGGGGGGATATAAGGGGGCCCTTGTTTTCGGCAATCCCCACATCCTACAGCCTAAAACAACTGTTAACCTTGCAAGCGTTCCAAGCCCAAGACGGAAGAATTACCAACATCATGCCGAGGTCCATAATGTGAAGTATAGTCTAAACTGCTCAGAGAGGGTTATATAGGGAGGTATTACAGGGGGTATTAAGGGGGATACTAGGAGTTCAGACTGTAGCTCATGTGAGCTATAGTCTAAACTCCTAAAGGGGGCTATATAGGGGAATATATAGGGGACTACTATTGGGGTTATTAAGGGGGATACTAGGAGTTTAGACAGTAGCTCATGTGAAGGTATACGCTTTACCATAGGTATACAAGACATCCATAGCTATACAAGACATTTAGGACCGTAAGATTGGTACGTATCCCCTAGCTGAACCCAGTTTCCATTTCGTCTTACATTGGCGTGTCCATTTCCTCTTCCATTATTGGGGGAATATCCCTATAACCCCTACCAACTCCTGTAGAACCCTACAAGGCACTACAAGGTACCCATAAACCCTGAAATCCTAAACCCTGAACCCTAATTCCTAAACCCTAAATCCTAAACCCTAAATCCTCAACCCTAAATCCTCAACCCTAACACCCAACCCCTAAATCCTTATGGACCAAGGCTTGGCCTCATGATCTTCCTGGCCTTTGCCCCGACAGTCTTGATCAACATCTTCTCCATGCTCTTCAACTTCAAGTCAGAGGCTTTGGCTTCGGGTTTTAGAGTTTGGGTTGTAGGGTTTAGGAGGAGGTAGGGTCTAGGCTGATTATGCTCTTCAACTTCAAGTCAGAGGCCTTGTTTTAGGGTTTTTAAATTTTGGGTTGTAGGGTTTAGGGCCGGGCTGAGGAGTTCGAAAGTAGGGTCTAGGCTTATTATTACATTCAACTTCAAGTCAGAGGTTTTGTTTTAGGGTTTTAGGATTTAGGATGTAGGGTTTAGGGTTTAGGATGTAAGCTTTAGGGCTTAGAAGTTAGGAGGTAGGGTATAGGGTTTAGGATGTAGGGTTTAGGGCTTAGGGTGAAGGACTGCGGGCCGAGGGTCCGGGTTTATTGAAGGTTTAGGATTGAGGCATTAGGGTTTTAGGGCCCAGGGCTTAGGGAGTATTATTGCACGCAACTTCAAGTCAGAGGCCTTGGGAAGTCAAAAACAAGGAAACTGTGTGTGTGTGTGTGTGTGTGTGTGTTTTTTGCGGGTTTAGGGATCAGGGGATCAGGGGGGGGGGTTTAGGGGTTCTACAGGGGTTACATAAGGTCACATAGGGATATATTGGGCTCTACAGGTGTTTTAGAGGTTATGTTGGGGTATATCAGGCACTGTTGCAGCCTTAGGGTTGGGTTCAGGGTCTGGGGATATCCTCCCCAAAAACTGGAGAATCAAATGGAAAAGAAAATGGAAAATGACATGGCGACAGGCGTGCTATAGGGATGTTATGTTTTGTTTAAATAGGACTATTACGGGCTTGGGTGCTTTAAGTGCGAGGGCTTAGGGTTCTGGAGGTTGGAGTGGTGTTCAGGTCTGTGTGTGTGTGTGTATTTAGGACTATTGTGTTTAGATTTAGGTTTGTCGGCTACGGCTTTGAGAGAGTCCTGCGCCCTTTATATCCTACACAGAAGATGTGTTCAGATTTGGTTTTGGCCAACGTAGATAGGGTCCCTTGGTAATGTATTGGCTAGCGTACGTATTTGGATGTCCACTTGGGGGCTCTGAATATACATCCTAGCATATATTATGGCTTCATGGCATAACCCGGAGATAAGGCTCCTAAAACTTCCTCCTCTCGCCGTGTCGCTTACACCACGTAAGAGCCTTGTATCCTCGTCAGGGATCATTTGTGTTTTTAAGGGGTGGGCTGCCACAAGAGGGACACTTTTCAATTGAATGGGGTGCCGGAAACCACTGAGCCCTAAACCCTATATACCCGTATATAGACCCTTTTAAAGGTACCCCTGTATAAACCCCTCTATAACCCCTTCAAAGGTACCTTGTATAAAGCCCTAAATAACCCTATGAAATCCTAAACCATATATAACTCCATGAAATCCTAAAATCTAAACCCTGAACCCTAACCCCTCGTGCCAGGTGTGGAACCAGCGAGAGCTGCAGAACTGGTATTTCTGGTTCCTGGTCTTCTTCGTGATCATGGTCACTGTTGTAGGGCAGGCTGGTGGGGGGGTTTACGGGTGGAGAGGCTTGAGGACTTCATTTGGAGGACTTTATTGGTTTGGGGGGATATTACGCCACTGTGCACCCCACTCAAGAGGGCCAATGTATGGGGGCTGAACGTATGGCTTGCCTGGGCTGTTCACGGCTTCCTCGGGCTCCTGCAATGCCTTTTACCTACTTTTGCCCAAATGTCAAACCACCACTCCCACGCAGGCGACCATGTTGTATACCAAAATTCTCAGAGCGCCAAAATTCTAACACAGGTCAGGCCCGGCGCGGAAGTGAGGCCTGCAATTCGGGGAACAGGGATCGCACGCCCTCATGTGATTACGAACCATGGTCAAGAGACAAGTCCTAAACCCTGAACAAGATGGCCGCTTTTTGGGAGTCCCTGTGACAATGGTTAACCAGGTTATGGTAGTTTGGGAATACACATCGGACCCCAACCCTGATTAAGTTCGGGCCAGACAGGATTTCGTGACCTTCGTCTCTGACGTGGCCAAAGATCCCATGAGCTTCCCCCTGCTCCTGGCAGATAAGCTCCTGGGCTTTAGTTCCTTTACCTACTGGTGCGTGAGGGGGGAGTAGAATTGAGGTACCATGATTGGGGTATACGAGAGGATCATTACAGGGATCTACTCCTTTAGTTCCTCTAGAGTTTGGAATAAGATACAAGGGATCACCATTAGCAACATGGGTCATATCGATGTCGATGTCTGCACAGGTTGGGAAATTCGTAGGAGGTCTCAAGTGTTGTCCTCATGTGCGGTGTAAGTGCTTGCAGTGTGGGTCTTGGCGGAGGCATCCCCGCCTGAAGCAAGTCTGTGTAACACCCACCCTGCCCTTATCCCCTCTGTCATCTTCAATCCCCAGTCCCCACACCCAGACAGGATGCCTTTGTGCGCAGCGTGAACTGGGCCCTCCTCTGGAATCCTGTAAACTTTCCTGGGGAACAGGGCTGCCTTGTACAACGTCTTTCTGCTTGGGTAATCACACCAACATCCCTGCACCCTCCACCGCAAAAGCAGACGCTTTCAGCCCGCCTGAATTCCCAATCCGTTAACTGCAGCAGAGGTGTGATTTTTCACCACCTACCCTTCGCTAAACAATCGTCAGGTTTCAAAAGGGCCTCCAAAGGACGACACTTTGAAAATGAGGGTTGCCCGGAGTTTAGGGGAGGGGCATGTCCAGATCTGAATCCTTAGGATACCCTGAATCCCTAACCGTAGATGCTGCACCCTAGACCCGAAATTCCTAACCCTACACCCTAAGATCCTTGACCTACAGCCCCTAAACTTTTGAATCCCAAGGCCCTGAGCCTGGGTGCCTTTTAGGATGCTATCTTCCAGGCAGAGAAGCCGTGTTAGTTTAGGAGAGGGTATGCTCCGGAAATTTCAAGACACAGGATGCTGTAAACTGCAAGCCTGAAGTTGTATAGTCCCCCTTAAGCAAACAGAAGATGGGGTTTATGGGGGGTCTGATTATAATATACCTAGAGCCATATTCTAGCTACTTAAGGGGGACTAGAAGCCTTAGGATGCCATCTTCCACGCATTACTACCTCAACTTTCTGGGCCTCCAGTGGGTGAGCCATGCCATGAACTTGACAAGGCGAGGCGGTGCAGATCAGGGTTTAAGGTTTGGGTCGCGAATTAGGGTTTCATGGATGGCTGGGGGTTTTTGATATAGGGTTCAGGGGTAAGGGCTTAGGGTTTAAGGGTTAGGGTTTAAGGTTTGGGGTTCGGGGCTTAAGGTTCTCGATTTAGGATTTCGGATATAGGGCTCAAGGGTTGGGATCTACGGTGTAGCACTTTGGTGATTGGATTTGGGGAGGTTCAGGTCCAGGGTCATGGTGTGGGGCTGAGGCTTGATGGTTTCAAATTACATGCTTAAACTTCAAGCCTCGTGCGTTGCAACGAAACACTACAAATCGGCAGGCGTTGGTAATCGCGTTTTTGTGCTTGCGAAGTCCAGTTCTGGTGAAAGCGGAAGTTGTTTTAGGTTTACAGTGTAGTGGCCGCTTAGGATGCACTTAGATGTTTTGGAGTGTTCCATCAGTTTTGTGTCTGGATGGTGCTTAGGACTCTCCAAACACTATTCTCAAAGAAGCGTCGGGAGCTTGACGCCCCCGAGCCACCGGGTTGCCCAACCTGTTTTATGCGAGAAAGTCCCCCTAGTTCAGTATTTGGCTTCGTTTTAGAATCCCTCAGGCGGAGGGGATTTTGTTTGGGAGGTTGTAGAGTCAGTTCGGACCTAGCCGCAGCCAGGTTGCTAAAGTTTATCTGGATTTGTGGAAGAGGTTTGTGCAAGGGAGGTGCTCTGAGGATTCTGCATGTGCAGAAACAGACGCCTGTTACGCTTTGACGGCAATACCAGGTGTTGAGTGCCTGGCAGAAGAAGATTTAGGGTTTTCTAGGGACTATACAGGGTTTAGGGATACGACCCCAACGAAATAATGATAATGGAGAGTCAAATGGAAAATGAAATCAAAACAGTTTTCATATGGAGGTTTTGTGGGACCTTAGGGTTAACGTGCTTGTGTAATCTAAAGGATGACAATGTGGATATCGTGGATTTATAAAGGGCATACAATATATGATCTCCCTCCTGGGTCCCTCAAAGTATATCTAATCTACACTTGGGATCCCAAAAGTTGACCCGAACTTGTCCTGGGGAAGGGAAAGAAGCATCCCAGCCTTTGTAGTAGCTGGGGTTATGAGTCATGGCTTTGTAACCCCACGTGAAACAACCAACAAACAAAACCTGAAGAAGACTGCTAATGAGACCTGCTAGGTACATTCAAGTGAGCAAGTTCGTGGCCTTCTCCAAGGCCGAGCAGTTGGGATGTAAGCAAAAGCAAACGCAAGGCTCAAGCTTGAGGCTTCGGAAATGAGTTGAATTTAGGATTAAGGGATTCGTGTTTTGGAGTTTGAGGTTTCAGTGTTTGGGTTTGAGATGTAGGGTTACGTGTGAGAACGGAGGAAGGAGCAAAATGGGATCATGGAAGTACAATGGTAACTTACAAACATCTTCAGCAGATTCTGTTTGCATCCATATTGCGGATCTGACTGTGATGTGGGCATAAGACTTGGGAATTGGGCCTTTGCAATGGAGCTTTGGGTTGTACCACCATTAATATTGACCGTAAAGAAATGCTCATATAGACCCCAACGTACTATAGTCCTTATCAAGGGACCCCCACAAGAAAGTACCCCTACTTGTGGGAACCCCTAAACTCTGAACCCTAAATATCCCTTACTTGTGTGCATGCAAAGGTCTGGAATGAAGATGATGCGCGAAAGCTTTCTGAGCCTGAGGATCAGGACCTGAAACCTACTGGTGCTTACGGGGGAGTGGGGGGGTGAATATAGGAACCATTATGGGAGTAGATATTGGGATTGGTTTAGGGTTTAAGGTTTAGGGGTTAGGTGTTTCTTATTTTCTTGATTGAAAGGGACCAAGAGTCGTCAACAATTTCTCGCAGCAGTGTTTCTTCTTTAAAGAAAGGCATGACAGGGACACCTATAGGGGGGGGCATGGGATATTATTGTAGCGAGTCCTCAGAGACCTACTATTTTCTTCTTACAAAGAAGTACCCAGGAATCCACACGTTGTTGAATCCTGAAAACCCTAGACCCTGAAGGCGAAGCGACCCTGTCGTGGCTTAGTGTAAACCTCAATGCTTCGCCAGGTACAAGCTCAAGTTTCTGCTTGTGAATCTGCAATGTAGAAGCCGGTATAACTAGCAATATACATACTTCCACATATTCCTTATAGCTAATTATCCGAGGCAATCAATCTAAGTAAGTATGCCTCTACGGTAGCCTGGTTGGCTTGATGTTTGAATTTTGGGCTTCGGTTGGCAATGGCCATGTTAGTCTGTATTCCGGACGGCCTTTTTTTAACAAGAGGGCTACATTTGCCTGAGCCCTGAATCAGGACCCTGTGACTATCGCATGACTCTTCTGCGGTCCTTATAACGGCGGTGGGGGTGGCCAACAATCCTCTTACTATTATTAGGTAACTTCTTGGAGGAGCGAAGGCATAGAGATTACAAACTGGCTGACCTCATCTCGATTTTCATGTTCACATAAACAGTTGCCCAGACATGGTCACATTGCGGCCTTTCCAGGCTTTACTGCAGCGGACAGGTTAGCACCAACTACATGACACATTTGAAAGGGGCAACGCGCAAATTCCTCAACATGCCCTTATACAATCCTTAACAGGGATCCCATATTCCACGAATGATCCCCATACACCCTGCTGTCCCGAAGAGCCCTGTTTCGACAAAGTCCAATATTGGATTGCAGGGATTCAAGCTTTGATCTTGATTGAGCCGCTGCAAAGATTTGGTAGTTTCCAGAAATTAGGGCCGTCACTAAAATAAGTTGCAATGTGTACAAGGCTGACACTGGTTCATCCCGCAGAGGCCTGGGAAAGTACCAATAAAACTTCCGTGCAATATTTCCAGGACTGTACAAGAACATGCCCCAAGACCGAATTCGATCCAAACAGGTCCCCACGTGAGCCAATTTCTAGGAAGAATTCTGTACCTTGTAAGTTGTTCCTATCATAGAGTCACAGAGTAAGATATGGGAGCCTCCAACAGCTGCCCGAAAGCTCCCAGTCAGTTTAGTTGGGCTTAGTGGGGTCTGAGGACTTGAATCGGGTCCGAAGTTTGGAGGTTGGGCTTACCATAAACGATTTATAATTGACATCCCAAAAGATTTTCCACTGCTCCGATCTTGCTTTGTCGGCTCTTGGCAGTCCGTCAGAGCTCATTGCGTACCTGCAAGCACGATTACGTACAGTTTAGTATGAATTACCCTAATAGGTACGACCCTTGAAATACTATAGGGTTTAGGGTTACAGTTAGGGTTTCTAAAGTTACTTGCATCTGGGATACTCAAGGGCAAGCCACTCTGCTTCGTTACACATTCCTGCTTGTAGCTGCTCTGTTTGCATCAGCTCCTACGACTATTCGTGCAACCCTGGAGCGTTGCAGCAGTCTGATCCTAATTGGAGGCTCAGGAGTAGTTATCAGTATGATTCGAAGTCTCCTAGCTTGGCTTATAACATGTGACAAGTTACATCTATAGTTATCCTACTTGGAGCCCAATTTAGGATTACCCCTGAACCTCTGAGTATCATTTAATGAGGGTCCCACTAGGATAGGATCCCTCGACAGTGCATGAAATAGCTCAAGTCATTACAACCTCCCCCGACTTCACCGCTAGTGGTGGTTCATACATAGAGTGATCCTAACATGGACTTATCTCAGGTTTTAAAATTCTTCTGACTTCCCCAGAACGTAGATTGCCAGGATTACTACGGCATGGGCTCCAGGACGACTGTCAGCGGCGCAGGGTCTAGCTGGGTCAACATTCGGGATCCTTCATGCCTGCCGCGGCATGAGTTTCCTTAGATGAACCATAGTCTAAACTCCTTAAAGGGGTTATATAGGGGATTATATATGGGACTACTTCAGGACTTATTAAGGGGGATACTAGGAGTTTAGACTATAGCTCAGATGAGTTAGGATTATGGCTTCAGTAGGGATATTGTCAAGTGTATACATTGGGTGTCCAGTTGGGCAACCCTGGAATACAACCATGGGTCAGATCAAGGCACCGAAGTACCCAAGAAGGGCCCTTTGTTGGTAAGATATCTAGGGCACGATGTTAGGGTTTGGCAATTTACCTCCCTGCTGGAGTTTGAAAGGGGATGAGGGCATTCTTCACTGATAGTCTGGAAGGAGGATATAAGATTGTCCTGCAAGCCTCCACTTCATCACAGTTGGGAGGGCCAAGGCCCTTTGTTGGGCTTGGTACAGTGAGGGTTGCATTTCCTGCGGGTATGAAAGCAGAAATGCTGGCATGGTCTGCACATTATACCTTCTTTAGCCAAGTCCCTCCTTCAACGCCAACAAACCCCTGAAGGCATCGAGGCCCACGAACCTGCATTTATGCTTTTGGTCATTGGATCCCCCAAACATTAAGCCCTAAGTCTTGAACTTGACCTAGGATTCAACCACTGATAGTGATCGCAGGGGATCCTGATAACCATGTTATAATGTTCCGCGTATAGTCCACATCTAGACCTGTGACTGGCCGGGTGCCTCACCAAGTCTGATTTGGGTACAGGAGCGCGCGGTTCACGACCAACCTGCTCATCGCAACTTCGCCTTTTACAGCAGGGGCTTTCAGGGACAAAGGCTCATGGCTGGAGACTTAGGGTGTGAGGTTCAGAGGATGGGGTTTAGGTGCGGACATGAGGTATTTAATTCCGGATTTGGGAGTTTCAGGGTGGTGGATAGCTTTCCCTTAGAGATAAGTCCCGGCATTTGGACGTTGGCCCAAGGCTAGCTGGGAGCTGTCCAAAAATCATGGTCAGCAGACTTCACGTATGAAGGCTTTGTATACCGGAACCGCCAATCTGGAACCCTAAGCTCAAAGTACCGTGGTTCATATATTGCCAACCCTTCATGCCCCAACAATCTCCATGATTCTCGCAATACGTTCATACTTGATGTTTCCAATCCCTACATTCCACTCCCGTGTCCTGCAATGCACCAGGGAGTTGAAGCATGGGTGTCTACTGTAGGGGACCTAAATAGTTACAGGTATTATACTTCCGGACTTCTTTTAAAAGTGTGGTATTATGCACGTCAAATAGATTTCAAAATTGTAGTGGTAGTAGCTTTGAAGCAACATTATTACGTTTACGTTTTGGGGGGTTCAGGTGTAGGTTTCAGGACGGGTTTGGGGATTGAGTAGCTCAGATTTCCGTCATTCATGGCATTGTCCAGCTGGAGCATTGAAGGGCGAAAATTAAGTCAGCGCTGAGGCTTGCGAACCCTGACTCCCTTGTAGCCACTTGATGCTTAGCAGGTATTGAGAGAGTGGATGAAAGAAAGGTACCATGGTTCAGGTGGTGCACGTTTCAGCATGCAGCATGGGGGGCACATTGGCAGACATGATATTCCTAGGAAAGAAACTGAACATGTGGTTGTTTTTGGTACTGACCTTTGAGCCTGAAGTCACTGAGGCCATCATCTTCGGTACAATCTCGCCGTTGATGAACGTCATGGCATGGGAAGCTTATCTCCAATTGAGAGCTCTCAAGTACGGCAGTATAGAACCCAAACGAACTGGGCATATCAGTGCTTCGTGATCTTTTGCATATGTACAGTACAACATCAAAAGAAGCACCGCGCTTCATCCCCATTTCCAAGGATGCATCAAAGAATCCAAGGTTTTGGATTGGAGGTTTGAATTGTGAAGGATTAAGAAGTTGAATACCCTCCTCCCCTAATGTTTATGTGAAATGTACCCCCGGAGGAGGGTCTGTGTGCCAGCGCGCTAATTCCCCCTAACTAGCGCTTGCAGCTGACACACTTTGGCTGCAGGGTTCGCCTTCTTGGCCCGGCAAGTGGTGTCGTTGCCAAAGTTTTCTGTTGCTGGTGGTTTTCTTCGTGTTGCTGCGCCGCTGCTGCAATGGAAGGGCCCCGGAGACGGGTGAGCTTTGCGCCGTATGGTTTGTGCGACTTGGGCTTAGGTCTTCCCCGTCCTGCGCGAGTTCAGAAATTGCTGCCTGGCGGTGCCCGCGTTGGATCTTGGGATTTGCCGCAAGATCCCGCTGGTGCCTGTGGGCATTTGACATTTGGGAATTCTGGTACTTCGTGTAAGGCGGTCTCCAAGCATAGTGTGGCTAGTATTGATGTGAACGCACAAAGTTCGCTCCGCCAAGAAGAGGACAAGGGTCGGGCCAAGTGGGCCAAGGTTTGGGTTTCTCTGGTGTGGCATTTCCAGCAAGACAGGGAGGAGTGTTGTGGGTGAGCTACAAGGGCGTGACAGTGGGGAGGCCACTTTCTTGTTTCTGGATAAGGCTGCGGGCACTTTGAGGCGTCATGCCCGTGGCTGGAAGGTCTGGGTTTCCTTTTGTCAAGTAGTGCAGGCGTCCCCTACTTCGCCCTTGCCAAACTTGTTGCTGGACTTCCTGCAAGCTTTTGGTGAGGGAGCGGCTGCGGATAGACAGCGATCTGCCAAGAGTGTTGTGGCTGCTTTGCGATTCGCGGCAGCCAAATTGCAGTTTGCAATTTTGTCTACGACATTGGTTTCGCCCATTATTTCGTCGTTGCTGGCCAAGGACAAGTGGACTGCGAAACCTGCCAAAGAAGCCCTTCCGTTACCGTCGCATTGCGATGTGTCCTTCGAGAGGGTGGTTGCAACGACCGCTGGCTGTTGCTGTGTTTCTTTGTGGGGCTCTTTTTCGCTGGAGCGACTGTCAGAGGGTCGAGATTGCTTCTACCCATCTGGACGATGAGTGTCTGCGTCGCTGGGTATGGAGGTCTAAAACTAGCGCCTCAGATTTTCCCTTCGGTGTGCTTACTGGTGGTGCTACTTCCGGGCAATGAGGCGCCGAACTAGGAAGAGCCTTGCTGACATTAGCTAGAGACAATGCCCGCGCCGTGATTTCGTTCTTGCTCGTGGAGGGACTCCCATGCCGTATGCTACAGCACTGCCGCAGCTCAGGAGATGCTTGGTGCTTTATGGAAGCATAGCTTAAAGGCGACAGTGCTGAGTTGGGCAAACCAAGTGGGAGTGGCGGGTGAGCTGAGGGCCTGCCAAGGCCACCATGCGTGCCATGAAGCGGGTAAGTCTGTCCGCAAATATAGCAGGGATGACGTACTTCCACAATTGGACTGCCAGCGTAAAGTTCTTCGGCGCATTGCCGCTGGCTGGGTGCCGGTTACAGCGTTACAGAGAGGAGTTGCGCGCATGGCTGCGGATTTGGATTGGAATGATGTAGGTAAAGCTGAGAGCGCTTGTGATGATTTCGTTGTGCAGGTTGCTGAGGAGGGTGAGCTGGCTGAGGAGGCCACAGATCCCGAGTCCGATTCAGACTCCAGCCGTGCATCGGCGTCCAGTGAGGAAGATTGGAGTTGCAGCGCGGATGAGGCTGAGGAGTTGGAATTTACAGGACCATGGCTGTTGAATGCCAAGTCCAGGTGGTACCACAAACTCACCGTGTCCTCAAGTGAGCCGTGTGTGCGGCGTTTGAGCTGTCGGTCGCAATTGGATCTGCACGCGGGCTACGTGCTCAACTTCGACAATCCATGTGGAATGGGATTCTCGGCTTGTCAACATGTTGGCTGCTTTGCGAATTTCACGAGGGCAAGACAGCCCACGGGCTCCAAGTAACCTGCGATTGCTCGCTTCTGCTTGCGTTTGTGCGTGGGGCGCGCTTGGATTGCGTGTTTTTTGCCCTCCTTGATTGGAGTGGATTGGGGAGACTTGTGTTGAGTATAAACAGTTCTTGTCCTTCTGTAGGACTAGTACAGGTGAGGGCCCAAGTGTCCTGCAGTTTTTTCCTGCTGCTTTGTTTGTTGAGGGGGCTCACATGACTGGGCGTCTGTCGTCCCAGGGGTGGGACTTTGGGAGTGGGGCCTTTCTTACGTGGGAAATTGCACGTGCAAGGGTGTCCCTTGGCTTGGGCCTTGCTTGCTCGCTTGCGCGGGAAGTAGGTTGTGTTTCGGTGCTGACAAATTTGACATTCGTCTCGCTTGCTGAGTGTGTTCCCGTCTTTCCTGCACTGGTGAGATGGCTGATGCTGCAGCGCCCTCGCCATGGAGGGCTAGTCTGCTGGCTTCGGGCCTGACTGAAGCCTTGGCAAAACGTGTGGCAGACACGTATGTCAGCGAAGTGATTTTCGCTCATTCCTTCGAAGACAAGGCCAACATTCCGACCATTGAAAAGTGCTTGGCATGCGTCTTGCTTTTAGGTCGTAAAGCTTGCATGCCTGTGCGTGCCTCACCTAAAGTGTGTTAGGTATGATTAGGGGATTTATTTCACATTAGGATCTGGGGTGATTAATATGAGAGAGGAGTGGTTATCTCGTTCTTGGGTCTTAAGAGAAGTTGCCCAACATTCAGAAGTCAATCTCAAGCTTCTTCTGGGATGGACATGGTCGGGGAGCTGGTACATGTATAAACCCTAAACCCATTTTTTCAAGACAAACAGGACCTGCAAAAACTCTGCAGGTTTGAGCTTGATAAGACTCGAGCCGCGCGAAGATTCCGATTTGCCGGGGTGCTGTCGAATAATGACTATGTGAGCTATAGTCTGAACTCCTTAAAGGGGGTTATATAGGGGATTTTACAAGGGGCTATCATGGGGGTTATTACGGGGGATACTAAGAGTTGAGACCATACCTCATGTGGTTACTATTTGTGGCACCTCACGCTCTGGTGAACACACCACCTGCAAAGAGATGGTAACCGCAAGCGAGCAATGACTGCATTCACGTGGAGACCTGAAACCCTGGGTACCAAATTTCCTACGCGCCCAAAACACACGTACCCATGCTTTGAGGCAAGCGCTCTGCCTTTTTTAGGCTTTCTCTCTCAACTCCCCACCTCTTCGACCACAAACGCCACCAAGACTCTAGTATTAATGGTTGGCTTTACAAAGATATGCTGGCAATTAGATGATAATGATGACCGTAACAATGTCATTGAAAATCCCAGATCAACTTCTGGATCTGCCGCGTGGTCTACGGGTACCTCATCGTCTACGCTGAAGGCTGCCCTACACGAACATGGGGATGTTTCAGGATTACTTCAGCTATAACTAGTTAAGACGGCCCATGCACCTCCAAGACATTCCTTGGCTTGTGGGAGCATCACTCGAACTTAAGGTTTACAGGATGGAGGCTGAATAGTCTAGGAAGGTTCCTAGTGTTTCGCAAGGGTTGTCACCTGAACCCTTAACCCAGAAAGCCTAGAATCCTAAATCGTAAAGTTTTGTGCACTTTAGAGAATTGCGCGGGAGGGGCTTGGAACTCATGACACCTGAGAAGGGGGAATTCTATGCAGTGTTCATTAAAGTTAACTAAGGGGGACCCCGGAAGGGGGGGAAGTTGGACACTCCAACATGATTGTAAACTGACCCAACCCTGTCACGGCACAGGCCTTGCCTACACTTTGAAACCGTGACCCGTACTCTTAGCAGCAGAAGAAAATCCTGAAACTTCAGCAGTAAGCCCAAAGCCCCTACTAACCTGGCCCTCAACTCTAAAAGTGGAGGGCCTAGGCTTGCTAAAGCAGAAACTCCCTTGACACATATTAGTATACATAAGTATCTATATATATATATACATTCATATGTGTATATGTACATCTCTCTCTCTCTCTCTCTTACAGCAGCTGCGTTCAGCCTCGCAGGTTTCAAGGGGCAAAAACGTTATTGTGAGAGCTGAACAACCAGTTGCAATGGAGAAGTTTCAAGAACTACCAACAGTATGGCCCTGGATTCTTTCCATAGTTGTGGCATAGGGTGCCTCACAGGGACCTCAACACGACAATCGTACTCATTTAAGTCCCTACATCATAGGGTTTGGGGTCTATAGGATCCCATAGTATGTTTCGCCTGTCAACCCTACTCATTATAGGGTCGGGTGAACCTTCGCAACACAACCCTCATATGGCTCTTCAGAAGGAACTTGATAATCATCACAAGCTGGGTTGCTGTAGAGGAACCTAAAATCCTTAACCACAATATGGACATATTAAATAAATCATTGAGATTTTTCTTCATCGTAGTACCTTAGTTTAAATTCCTCCGCGGCAATCCAGTAATATTTGGGGTTCAGGGACCTGTTTTGAGAAGTTCACACACCGGCACTTGCCAACCCGAAGCCCCAAAACCTAAATCTGAGTACTTGGCCTGTGGGCGTTCAACTGCAATCTACGGGTAAAAGAAAAAGTGGTGCAAAGCAAACAGCTTTAAAGGCACAACCTCTCATGTTTTGTGTTCTGAAGCTGTCATTGTCAAAGCTGCGCGGGCTCAGGGCTTCAGAGTCTGGATTTTGGGGCTGGGGCAAAAGATTTGGGCCTAGATTTTCTTTCTTTTCGTGCCCGGATGGAGCTTCAAAAAGGTTCTCTAGGTGACTATGTGGGATAGCTGTTGATTTGCCACAATGTCTTAGAAGGGAGCCAAGATGCCATGTGCAGGTCGCAAACAAGACTCTGGCGGACACTTCTTCGTAAACCAGCTGAACCACGTCTTCATAGGCTCGGTGCTCATAGGAGGTGG